TAACTCCGCATACAAATCGGTCACGAGATTCTCCTGGTTAACCTGACTGGTCAGGACGAAACATGCTCGAGCACTGCCCTCCCACAAAGGAGCATGGACCGATCCAATAGAAGTCTAACTGGCTGGCAAAGCGCTGTACCGCGAAAAGCAAGGTGGATCACCACGTCTGCATTTGGAAGGTCAGATCGACAAACCTTCAGGGCAACATCTCTGCACAGATTCGGCAACTCTGCATGGGACCACTTGCGCCATGCCTGGATCAGAGCTCGGAGCTGCTCTGGCTCACTATCTTGCCGCCACGCCGTCGGGTCCGCCAAGACCTACAACAAGCCGCACTCCCAGTAATGAAAGCACGTGCGGAAGCAGCCTTTATGTTGCCATGATACCATGACGAATGCAGAAACATCAAACAGGCTCTCGGCTTGGTTTCTCGTCTGCCAGATCCCTCCTTCGGCCTCTGACTCGTTCGGCTCCAGGTTTCTGCTGTAAGCTCGGCGGGCACGTCGAAGTTCGGAAATACACCTCAAAAGCCGCACATGACACTTGTCTCTGTCATTTTATCATACACTGACTGATGCTTCGTCGATCGAGCATGTCTCATGCGAGAGGAGGGGACCCAAGGTTGGGGCAATGCAGATCCCAAGTCTGGCAAGGGAGAAGCAAACACAAAGAAAACGTATACGGCATGTTGGAGATCAAAAGTCCCTTCGTCTTGCCACCCCAGTGCCTTTCACGATTTTGCACAAGCTCCCCGGCAAAGTTGGCCATGGCCGAAACATGGCATCTTTACAAGCCGTATGCCATCGGAACCTTGACATGCAACACGACGTCAAGAACATTCAGCACAACGCCATAGGGACATGGAGCACATGTGCATCTTCTTGGAGAGCCAAAAGCATTCCCAATCAGATAATGCACTGCTCGCACATTCGGCGCGCGAATCTTGCAGGCCTTCGGCTGTCCCGGCTCGGCACATCCAAGAAACAGCCAGGCCTGTAGGTCAACTGTAGCATCGAACAATTCACTCCTTGAATGCATCATGCCAGCCTGCCTCAAAATAGCAGCAACGAATTAAACTGAGCCGAAACATGCGCCAACATGCAAAACATTCCCCCAATGCCATGCGACTCAGGCGCATCACGTTCTCATGCCGCAGAAGAGTCGAGAACTTCAGATTGGCAACTGCGGTGAGAATGCTCAGAAACTCGTGTTGACAGCACAGCTGCGCTACTCAGGATTTGGCCATGCCGAAGCCAAGATTTTCTCAAAACAAGCCAAGCAAAACCATGCTCACACAACCGAATAAGGTTGCTTGATGTGCTGTGTCACATCTCCAGCAAGCTCCAGACACAACGACCAAGGAAATGGTGGATTCTGCAATGCAGAAACGCTAAACGTCAACAGGCAGGCCGCTATACTGCAAGATAGGTCCTGCGCCCGAAGCCACGAAGTTACAAATGTCTGCAAGACAAAATCACTTTCCCATGGACGGTCTCTGTGTTTGCCGACGTCGGTCATGCAGCTAACTACCCAAATCCATCCCGAACAAAGCAACTGCGGAGAAAGCTGCAAATTTGCGCTTCGCACAAAAACCAAACATTTGAAGGCGCCCTCAACCTTACCGGCTGTTCTTCGAAACTGCAAAAGTACAGGAACGAGTGCCGCCAAACACGAGGGACCCCAACAACCATACAAACAACATGCATTCATTCACACATTTATTCATTCAGCCCATTCATCGAGCCCGTCAAATCGCCCAAAAACTGAACGTTGAAACAAAGCGAAACTTGTGGGAAGAGACCAGTGTATCTGCGGAGGCAACGCTCGGTGCTTCAGTTTGGGTGGAGCAGAAAGTCAGCATTTGGCTACAAAGCGAGATTCAACCGTCATTGTCTCAGAAATTGCAACTGACTTTTTGGAAGCTTCCAACTTCACGAAGGTGACCACACGGTTCCAACCTGCCAAGAAATCAAACAAGTTTCATCTAGATTCCAAGTTTCCTTTCTGCCTTCTCCTTTGTCTTTCGTTTACATGCTTGAGTACTGTATGCACACCGGTGCTATTAATGGCAAGTGGCAAGCTCTTCCGCCTTGGTGCTCTTGCATTATTTCAAAAAAATGTATCATTTGTGCCTTTTTGACAAATTTGATCAATTTTTTTTATTTTCTTGAAAAATGCAAAACGTGATACATGTGCATGTGGAAAGGATTGCATATTGGAGACAAGACTTTTTTGCAGAACACAAAGAGCACGGTGGGCGCCGATGCCACAATGCACGGCAACAAACCTGTTGCCTGCCAATTGCACCCCTTGAAGCCCCTTGAGAAGCTCTTGCTCAAGCACAAGAAAGCCACACGAAATCGCTTGAGGGGGTTTAAAAGCGATGAAAACAAAGTAAATACAAGTAAAATGACACAAGAGAAACCACACGGCAAGACGAAAACGTTTTTTTCTCCACACAACCAGAAGAAAGCCACACGAAATCGCTTTAAAAGCGATGAAAACAAATTAAATACAAGTAAAATGCTTCCCCACACAAGAAAAGAAAACCACACGCAAGACGAAAACGTTTTCACCGCATACAACCAAAAATAAAGCCACGCAAAATCGCTTCAGGAGGTTAAAAGTGATGAAAACACATTCAATACAAGAGAAACACAGCAGCAGAAGAAAGCCACATGAAATCGTTCAGGGGGTTAAAAGCGATGAAAACAAATTGAATATAGCCTCCAGAAGGGACCTCAAATTCTCGATTCAATTTGCTCAAGCTTGAGAAGAGAGACTTGAAGAAGCCTCTCAAGGCGAAGCTTGAGGCCTGGGAAGGGCTTGAAGCCTTCTTCGAGAAATGTGAGATCTCCCTTTTCAAGCCCCCTTCAAGCGCTCTTGAGAAGAAGATAGTCATTTGGAACGGCAATGGTCCGGACGCAAAACATTCTGACAAACTCTGGAATTGTGCAAACCCAGCAAGGACTGAACCTCGGTTCGAAATTCTTTTAGAGGTTGTTTTTGTTTTTTTTTTTTTGGCTTTCGTGGAGAATTCAACATTGTCAAGCTGGAAAAGGTTTTGTAGTTTCCAAAAAAAGACACAATGACAAGACAGACCAACGCTCGGTCCATGTTCATGACTCTAATATCGGTTGCCAAATTGTGAGCTCTCAGAGTGCCTCGGAGTTTGTGTGAAGCAAAAGTTGTCTCGAAATCTCTCTCTGCCTTGCATGTTTTCGGCACATGCCAAAATCGTATTTTTTTTCCACAGTGCGGAGCGACCAATTTCGCTTATCAAAAGATCGAAAACTGTGCGATTACAAAAAACACCAGAGCGTGCAGCGTGTGTGCCTCTTCCAGTGCAACCACACTGTAGGGAAAGAAAGCAGCTCAATAACAATGTCGACCGTTTCTAAAGCTTTTTCTGTGTTATCAAAATGTGCGGTCTGTTAAAAATTTCAACAAGGACGGCGTTGTCTCTGATGCAAATCCATTTGTGGTCCATACAATGCCGAATTGCACGAAGAGACGCCGCAAAGATTGCGCGAAACCGGAGGCATGTTTTCCCAGGTTCAAATCTGGTTTGAATCTTGGTTAGGTAATTTTTGCCGTGTCTGGAGTTGTGGCAGAGCTTCGAAATCAAACGCAACAACAACAATGAAACACAAAGACCTACACAAACCATGCATAGACAGACAAGCGACAAACACAAAAAAACACTTTGCTAAGCCCACACGAAACTGGTAACGCAGTGTAACAACAGCCAGAAAACTTGTAGCGTACTACTTTTTTTCTTTTGTTTTGCAACTTTTGTTTCTTGGGTGGTCATTCTCCTCTCAGGTCCCCCTTCTTCTCAACCCCTCTTGAGCCTTTTTGAGCCTCTTGAAGCCTTTAAGAACCTCCTTCTTTCATTTGGGTAATGGTGTGGGCCAAGAACAAGTGCCAGGTGGGAACCGCAGAGCGAGTCATCAATATGAAGAGGACAGATTTCCGAACTCGCAGAGCACCAGGCACTGGACCTGACAGCTTGCCTTGAGGACACTAGGGTGGATCAGCTTCGCAAAAAGCTTGTAATAGGGTTTGGGACAATAGAGAGAGCACTTCCGATTTTAGAATGGTGATCACTCAACAGAGATTGTGACATGGGTTGGAGGCTGTCGTCGCCGCCCTGCCGGATCTCCGCGCCGTCATCCTTTCATCGCTCCGTCCCTGCGTCGATTGCAGGCAAATGGACGTGGCAGCGACGCTCGAACGCTCGACGGCCGGCTTTGACTCGAAGATGGCGGACGCGGACGCGGCCGAGACGACGACGCGCGGCGATGACACGGCAACGCAGCAGCTACACAGTTCCAGCACGTTGAAAATCCTGGTTTTGGCACAGCAGTTCCAGGCACCTCTGTGATCTTGGATTTTTTTTTTTTTTCGAATTTTGTTTCTATCACAAGCTCTAAGTTTTTTGTGCAAGCACATTTCTCTTTTTTTGGTCGAAAAGCAAGTTTGTGTATCTTGCTTGTAGTTTTTCTTGAAAAGTGCTGTTTTTGATTTGCAGAAGGCCAAGCGCGTGTCAACGATTTGCGTCAACGATTTTTGTGTGGCTTTCTTCTTAAGAGTCTTCTCAAAAGGGGATTCCAAGACTCGAAAAGAAGCTTGAAGAAGTTTGCCCAACTTTGATAAAGCATGTTTTTTTCGGTCTTTGCTTTTCGTTGGTTTCTTGTGAGAGCATCCGGTCGAGACGCAACACAGAATCTCAACTCTGGGGAAACATGCTTTCTTTTACACCACCCTCCACACTCCAGCCGAAAGCGCTTGGACTTGGACCCCACCTTTTTTTTGCTGGGTATCAAAAAAGGTGCTTTGCATTGTAGTCTCACGAAGGAGATGCAGCTGCGATAAGTGCTGCGGGTTCTTGAGCACCATTTCAGTCATGTTGCCAAGCCGACAGTCGGCAAAAATTCAATGCCGTGTTCGCACGAATGTCCAACAGATGGCATAAATCCATGCCTACAGCGTGAGCCATGGGTTTGGATCGAGAAGGTTACCTTCGCAATTTGCGTGAGCTCGAGGCTCTTCACCAAGTTGTGTTGGGATGATTTTAATGAGAACCAAATGCTTTGGCTGCTTCAGCATTGGACACGGTTCTCGTGAAGCATGACTGCAGACAGCGTGCTGTTGACGTATCATTGGCCTTGAAGAGCCAAGCCTGCCCAAGCCGGCCCACGCCTTAGAGGACGATTTTGTTTGTGCGCCAGGCCGGCCGCGAAGTCTTCGTGCGGCCTTTGGAGCTGGAAGCAACGGCGAGTGCCCCAGGCACACGTCACAGTTACCCATCACATCAAGTCAGCACTTAGTCTTGCACTGGCTTGTGTTTGCTATGGTCCAGCATCGTCAGTCAATTCATGGTCTTCGTCGAGTTTCGCAGGAGCCTAGTTATCGTATACATGCGGTTCAACAGCAGTCCTTTGTTTGCGGTGTCGTCATGTGGCATTATGCTGTGTCATGTTGCCGAGGCAGACGATGTGCGCGATATAGTCGTTCAGCGTTGTGGCGAGGCTTCGTGGCATTTGCTTTGCCAGGGCCGGCTGTTAGTCCTCCGGCGTAGCCGGTGTTGGAAGACAGTGCTGCATGTGGCATGCCTGGCAGGATTCTGTGGGAATTGATCGGGTGAAGCTGGTCAAGCGGCTGAGCGTGATTGTACAGCGCATACTATTCGTGTTTGTGCCACTGCAGATTTCGCCGTCTTCAAGCATCTTGCATTGCTAGCAGTGCCATACACTGTTTGGACTAAACGAGCCCAGATTTCTGTACCACATGAAGCAAATCAACATTGCAGTCCAGGGTCTAAAGATCGACCTCTCAGTTTGCTATTGCATCGTCACAAAGAGCACAAGAAGCCATAGCGGATTTGGTACACGTCAGCATTTCAACAAGTAAATATGTATTTTCTCTCCAAAGACAGACTGAACATTTTCTCCCCGCCCTGCCCGGCCCGTCAATACATGTTTTGCACGATGTAGAACGCTTGTCATGGAGGTAACAACCAGCACAGTTGTCCAAGGCATGCTGGCGGCGCCTTGTTGTCGGCGTTCGTGACTCTGAGCAGTGTGCAAGAGGCGCATGCTTGCAGCTGGTTCGGAGAAACGATCGCAGTGTACGGTGGGGCTAGGGCAGGTGATGATGCCGCGTTTGCAGATCATGTCGTGGTGCTTGGGATGTGAGTTCTACTGAGCTGTCTGCACCTCTCCTGCCTTCCTGCGTCCAGGACATCCTACCAAGTCCTCTGGAACTCCAAATTCCTCGAGTCCCTGAGACTAGTTTTCAAGGCCCTTGTGCCGCCACGTCCCAAGTGTCAGGCCAGGCTGGTTACTCAGCGACTCGACGGTGCCAAGATTCGTGGCAAGGCACCGCGCCGTACTGAGAAGGTGTGTTGAAGTTGATGTGGCTCAGGTTTAGGTTGTACGAGAGTATCATGCCGTTGAAGTTTTTTGTGTTAATGGAGCGTGCTGAACACTGGCAACATCCCTGCAATGCTGCGCTCCCGACACACAGAGGTGCTTTTGCATGCGCAAACCGTCCTGTTGGCTACAAGTGCTGTCGATGGGGACGTCCGTCAAGCGTTGAGAAGGTTTCGAAGGCATGTGAGAAGCCAGACGCAATTGAATGTTGATTATTCGGTGTCGTGCGGCTGTGAAGAGAGAAGCTTCAGAGGTCCTCGCGGTGAGCGTGGCGCGGAACCAGGGGCAGAGTCGCGTCAAGGAGCTCCGGATGCGGAAGTGTTGGGCCAGCTCCGGGCCCTACGAGATTTGCACCTGAGGCCTGAGTCTGTTGTTTGTGTGGAGGAGATCTGCATGTTCTTTCTGGAGGGCAAGTGCCAGAGACCTTTGGTTGCACAAGTCGCCTTTTTTGCTTCGAGAGCTACTGCTTGCCTTGTGGAGGAGGGCAGAATTGTCAATATCTGCACGACGCGACGGGTCGAGGCTGAGTCTTGTGGCTTTGCGATGCAGTAGCAGTTTCTTGCTATAGTCCCCAACGAGAGAGCTTCACAGTTTGCAAAGAGCAGGTGCTTGCCCCAAATAATCACAGACCCTATGGAGGCAGTGGACGGCGCTTACCTGCCTGCCGCTTCTTCGCTGCAGGCCAGATTCAGTTTTTGCGCATGGCACAAAGGCTTTCTCTGACGAGGGTTGGTGCACATGGCCTATAGTTGTGCCGACTGCATGGACGGGTCGGGTCTTGTACAGCCACTAATTCGGACATAGTATCTTCCATGTGCGTGTCTCTGTACTAAAGCTGCTCTCCGACGGAAGGGTTTCTAGTGCAAGGGCGCACTCCCTAGTCCCAAGCAATCCCTATTCTAGCGAACCCTTTCAGGCCCTGTTGCGTCTGTTGGAGATTCGCTGCGCTTGTCTGAGTTCGATAAAATGTCAGCTTTCCAGCCCTGGCAGTCCAAGAAGACCGCGAATGCATTAACAAGTCCACGACCAAGGAGAAAATGGTAAGTGAAAGCCACGAACATGCCAAATGTGGCAGATTCTTCGGGGAAGGGGGGACGACACTGTTTACAAAGGGCCTGTGTTGCGGCCATCTGCCACAGAAAGAGAAGGTATGCTCTGATGTCAGCTTCCTGTAGCCGAACTGCAACCACAAGCTGTTGCCAATTGGTCATCTTGCTAAGCACCATGTGGGCGACGGCCGCAGCATCTGCAAGCTGGAAGGAAGCTGCTCGCGTGGTGAGAACTGCAAATTCTCGCACGAGAGGCCGGACGATGTAGAGACTTCGGAGCATAGGCGGGAATGCTCGAAGATGCCCTGTACCAAGCCGCAGTCCCGGAGGCAGGATGATGTCGAGGAGGCCGGCACGGTGCAGGATGATGTCGAGGAGGCCAGGTACCGATTAATGCTCAGTGCTTGGTTCTCTTTGCCAGCGATTTTGGCAGGCCGCGGAGGTGCAGACAGAGAGGCTGACAAGCAAGCACAAACGCTTGAAGCACCCGCCTGATCCCACGCAGACAGCCAAAAAGAAGAAGACGAAGGAGGAGGCCACCATTTCGGCCAAGATGGCCTCCACCTGCCGACCAGGCCGGGAAGGGCCACAGAAGACCAAGACCAAGGCGAAGGCGGAAGAGGAGCCGGAAGAGGACGAAGGCGACGGCTCTCCGAAAGCGGCGCTGAAGCGCAAGCAGCCCAAGCGCCGAGAGCACAGAGCCGCGGCGACTCAGTCGGAAGCCCCGGCAGCCCCGGGCTCGGGCCCCCAAGACCCCCAAGGAACGGCAAAGAAGAAGCGGAGGAAGCTCCGACGCAAGACCGCCCAGGCTGAGCGTTGGAAGTTGTGTTCAGCCACTTGTTGCGTGCATGTGAACATGCGTGGTTGCCGGCTGATAACTAACGTCATGCATGCTGCAGGAGTTCATGTTGCTGCCGCTTGAAGCTTTTACCTGCAGGGCTGTCGTATGGGTTGCCCAATACAAGTATCCCTACGAATGAGCGATGAAGCTACAGAGGCTCCTGGGCCCAAGGCATGCTGCATGGTACCCTGGCATGTGCGCAGGATGTTCCTGCCGTTCCGACCGCTGCTCCGGCAGCCAAGGGTCAGAAGACCGAAAAGAAACGGACCAAACGACCACAGGCTGCAGCATAGCTTTCCACGAGACGACGACGTTGCGAGCTCGGCTTTGTCAACTCGGAGGGCTCCAGGTGCCGAAGCATAAACTTGACGAATCGCTGGTTGGAATCATGAGCGCGAGGGCCTCTTTGCGGCCCAAGCTGAAGCTGCGTCGTGGGCAGCCGGTGTGCCCGTGCAGACGGCAGCTGAATCGATTTGTGTGGCAAGAGCACAGCTGGCGAGGAGGCAGCGGGCAGCGGGTAAAGGCTGCGCAGCACCAGTAGAGGAGCCGACAGCGCTGCTGGCTCACCCGCAGCTGAGAACGTCGCGCCCCTCGCCCGAAGCATTGACCTGGCAAAGGCATCCCGAAGTTTTGGAAACACAAAAAGTAGACGCCTGAGGTCGGAATGCGCGAGCACGTCTAGGGTCTAGAGGGTATGGGATTCTCTGCGAGTTTTGAAGTTGCCATGATGCTGCGACGAAGCCTGGCATGGGCAACGTAGATGTCAGAAGCCGCCGGATGTGTGCAAGTGCCTCAGTGCTTCGAGTCGGCTCAGAGCTCTGGTGGGTGCCTGGAGAACCCGTGCATGAGCGCAGAGTGCGGCTCGCTTGCAGCGGAGAGGAAAGGCGAAGGCGAAGGGAAGAGACACGGTGAAACTCGTCGCATCGCATCAGGAGCCAGGTGAAGTTGGCGCCTCAGCTGAGGCCTCTGCTCGCAGATGTGACGCTACGTGCATCTGGCGGGTTTCTCTCTTCGGAGTGCAGTGCTGCACGTGGTTTGCATGCTTCTCCCGCATGCCTTGTTGGCCATAGGCATCCCGCATTGAAAAGCTTTGCTTACTTTTCTGTCTGGCTGACGAAGATGCCAGACTGAGTTCCTGGGAGCGGTGTAAGGTGAGGCTATGCAGGTCTTCATGCTGCAACTGTGAACTGTCCGCTGTTCGCAGTGGCTCAGGGGCACCAGTAGGCACAAGCAGGCGCAACTACAGGAGACCAGGGGTGCTCGGTAAGTACCTGTAGCGGCAAAGAGGGCGCCCACAAATTTCTTTGACTGTTGCGTTTCCAAGCCCAAAGTCTGAAAACTGTCTGGGACCTGCCTGGTGTTTTGGAAAATTGAAGCCACTCTTGCAAACGTGCCGTGACGGCCGATCCGGCTGCAAGAGCTCCTTGGCTCAGGCAGTTGCAGAGGCTTGAGGCAATGTCCCACAAGCATTTTGAACATCAGCTACTCGGGATCTTTCCCTTAACAGAACGGGACTCCAGCATTGTCTCCCCGAGTTGGTCTTCAGGCCGCAGTCATGAACAATGCCGCTGAATCCAGTCCGGAAATTCAGGACCATTGCACCTCCTGGTTCGGCTTGGTGATGTGTCATTGTCTCCTCCGATCGACTACAGTGATGCCCCATGACACAGCCCAACCACCACACTTCACACCATGTGGCCGCTCTCTCTTCGGCCTGCAAGGACGTTCCATCGATGATTCTGGAGCTCAGGCACGGCTCTGGCTGTTGGACAGGTTCAATGGTGTTTGATTGGAGCTTTGGAGCTTCGTCCTCGTGGTGAGCCATTAGACTCTCTGTGGTCGTGGAAGTGTGAGCTGGATGTAAATCCCTAGGCCTGCAGCTCGTGCAGGCAAGAGATATTACAGATGCAGAGCTTGCTTTCCGGAATGGATGGCACATTGTCATCCCACACTGCCTCCATAGCCGCCTGTCTTCTATTTTCAAGATGCGTCAACTGCTAAAGCTGAGCCTGGAGACCTAGAGAATGTTGAGGGGCGCGAAGGTCGACGAAGATGGTTATGGATTGAGTGACAGCGATCGAACTCGGATCACTTGAGCAGCTTGCTCCCATGCCATGGCACACCCAGTGTTAAAGCCTTTGTTTCTCAGGACTCGCTCCGTTGCGCAGTGGACAGCGTGGGTGCAAGGAGCAGGAGCAAGCTCTCAGGAGGCTTAGCCGGCTTGGCCTCTTGGAAGGCATTTGGCTCTTAAGGGCCTGAAGCCTCGTGTTCGGCTTGTCAGAGCCCTTTTGAGGATCGGTGTATGGAGAGCACCTCTGAGGGCCCGGAGGACTCTTGTGCATTGAAGTCTAGGGTTCATCCGTATCAAGACTTTGCTGCTCTGGCAGGTTGCAGGTAAAGGGAGTCATCGACAGGAACTTGTCGACTTGGCCGCTGCATTTCTGTGGAGTCTCTTTGAAGAGCAGGACGCTGCCTTCTCGTCCTTCGCCGTCAATATCAACACTGAGGCTGCAAGGGTTGTCCGAGGTATCTTTCTAGGTCGTGTCTGGGATGCATGGTGGTGACTGTGAGGGACCTTGTGAGCTAAAGAGATAAAGTGTACGGGTTCTCCGGGTCCGATTCTGTTTCATAAGTTGGGACTGTTACAGTACGGAAGCTCGCCTGCCAGGTGAATGAACGGCTGGATACCGTGGAACTTGTGCAAGCTCCGCAGGACTGATCTTCTCTTCATGGGGATGCAACAGTCAGTCAACATCTCGCTGCATGACGTTGATGACTCATGACTCCGGCTTTGGGACAAGCTCCCCCGCAGCCATGTATTTCTGAGCCAGTGGTTGTGAAAGGTTTCAGCGGTTCCAGCTCCGGCTGGAAACAACAAGCCATAGGATGATCCTGACCAGACTTGCACCATTTTGCCAAACGTCACAACAATGAAAGCTGGAGAACACCCGCGCGACATCAATGTTCGAATCGGAAGACACAAGTCACAAGTCAGAAGCACACAGAGCTGAATCGGAAAGCTGCCGCAACATCAATAATTTAACGTCCTAGCTGTCCTTCATTAGCTTCCGGGTAATGTTGAGGTTTCAGGGTCCAAGGGCTTTCGGTCGGATCCTGAAGATCTCAAGAGGGTTACAGTGCCCCTCCGGTCCGTGAGGTCACTCGTCGGGGCGTGGATCTCCTGTCAGGACGTTATCAACAGCCCGCAACCCAAACACCTTACACACATCACTCCAAGCGAAAGCTTTTCAACCCCGCACTCTTGCATCCTTTGTTTCGTGACATGAAGAGTCCGAGGAGGAATGCACCAAACGCAAGATTGAGTTCAGTGTTGAGGCACCATTGACCTCTCCTGAGCAGTACTCGCAGAGCACATGCATGATTAAACCATTCACAACCTTGAGATTTACACGTTCTCCCCACCTCTTGGACGCGCCCACGTGTCCCAGCCCTAAGTCATTGTGGCCGTGCTGATTTCCCTGCAGTTTTGTGATCGCATGCGAATCCCTGGCAAAGAACACATGGGTCATCAACTCTTGGGGATGCTTTCGTGCGGCCTGATGCTCCAGTGAACATGATGTATGTTTCTGCACACTTCCCAAACCCAAGAGCTTGAATTGTCCGAGAAGCCTGGTATTTTTGAGCTGGTTCTACGATGGTATTTTGCTTCAAAGCTTGGAGGATCCTCCTGCGCTACTCCCACTTCCGGGGGTCATCGGGCGAGAGGGTGGTGGCCTTGACCGCACCTGGAAGTGTTAGCAAATTGGTGGTCAACGCTATGTCGTCTCACAGGTCCAGATGACTCGAGCCTGGTTCACCAGCACGTTACCTCTGCCACGCCACTGGAAAAGGTGGGATCGCATTGGGTCGCAACTCTGGGTTTTGTGGCCCCTAGGACCCTAGGAGCTTGAGCGGTTTGCGGCGCCCCACCTAGCGGTAGCTACGTGATGTGATGAACAGTTAAAGCCTCAGCATCACTTTGACAACGCTGAGCGTCGCCCTAAAACGGTGGTCAGCATCTTCACGACATGAGCCACAGGACAACGAGATGGCTCCTGTCAAGAGGAGGAATAGTCAGAAGTGCCTCGGGCACATTTCAGATTGACCAGCTTGTTGTGCAAAACAGTTCGTGAGCGTGCTGCAAGGCAGTCTCGCAAGCAGTGTGCTGATCGCGTGTAGCATTTCGGAGGAAAAAGGGTGACAGCAGACAGGCGACAACTAAAATACTAGGACTAGGACTCCATTGTTTTGCGCATGCCAGTCGGCAAGGAAGTCCTTGGAAAGTCGGCACAGCCGTGACAGCGAGCCGATGCAGGCCATTGAGTTGTACGGCATGGCACAGCAAGCAAACTGGCTGGAGTTCTGCCAATCTTGAACGCACAGAGTCGTAGAGTCTGACCGTAGCGTCGGAGTTGTACGAGACGTGTCATTTCACGTGCACTCTAAGCTGCACACTGTTTACATCTGTCTACCCTGCAAGGTTCACTTCACTAACCCCTAAAGAGCCCAAAAACGTTGCAATGCGTATACAGACCCGTGCGTTTGGAGCATTTGTACAAGTCGTTGGCACAGGCACGCAAATCGGACGGGGTCCGTGACGCAGCCGCAGACAAGAATTGAAGACGTCGGTCTTAGGGCATTTCGCAGCATCTTCTTGTTCTGTTTGCTTCATTGAAACCCTGCTGTGAGTCTGGTCTTTTGCTAGCTTGAGCTTGGACAAATCGTTCATCGAGTCGGAGCTTCCAGACTCTGGCAGCCCAAGTCTGTCGGGGAGAGGCATAAACAAAAGCACAAAAATGCATCAAAAAACCATAAAAAAAACCAAAAATGCACCAAAAAAGCAAAAATGCATCAAAATAACCGCATCAAAAACAATCAGAAGGAGCGGAGGCCGCCCAAGAATGGCCTCCGGGGATGGAACGTCCTGAAAGGAGACGCAGGCCAGACGCTTGCATTCCACGCAACATTACATTCTGTCTGTGTAGATCTGTCGAGCTCGACGCGATCATTGCCGTCGCAGGCTGCGACCACCGGATTTCCGCGTAGTTCTGCAAGTCGTCCATGTGCTGTACCCACATGGGGCTCCTTCCTTCGCTGTGTTCACAGGCCTCGCCGTCTTCGCCGCCTGCAGCAAAACGGGCTGCTGGAGTATCAGGGTATGTGCAAACGTGCACCTGCCACCGAAGACTTTCCTCGCCCAAGGCCGCAAGACGCTCCGAAACGCCTTCGGCTGGGGCGTCAGTTGTATACGTTGTATATTCCGTTCGGTCACGTGGAATTGAACTTTTTTTTTCGGAATCCAAAACCATACGCCGCAAATACACACCACTGTCCGAGCATGGTGATTTCAAAGATTTTCAAAGCCACCACAGCCTGGAACCCCTTGAAGGCTACTGCCTTGAACGCGCTCAAGGAGCATATGCGCACAAACGTCCGCATCAACATTCAGGATCTCGTCAAAATAGTCGACTAGCATGACAAAGGTGCACGACCCGTGGATGATGCCTGGCTCAACACATGGTCTCGTAACCACCGCGTGCACAAAGGTACACGCCAAGGACAAGCTGTCAGCCTTCAAATGGAGCGAGCATGATTGGGACCAACTGCGCCGAGACCTGGGTACAGTCGCAGACTCCTCGGCAAGTTCAGAAGATGCAGCTCCGGACACAGTAAAAATTGCAGCAGAGCTGCACAGCAAAAGCTGCACCGTTGTCGTGTTTTGCAACCCTGCGCTGCTGCAGCAGACCATGCCTCAGCTCAGTAACAAGACCTATATCAAGCTTTGCGGAGACGGAGCCTGGCGTCTCACCAGTGGTGACTGGGTTTTCCTTCGTGTCGGGGCGCTCTGAAAACACTACGAGTCGGCGGTGACTTCGCGCCACGTTCAACCCTCTCATGTTTGCCCTTACAAATAAAGAAGCTGAACGAAGCTATACAGTTCTGCTCGAAGCCTTCATCGACTGCGGTCAAAAGGTTCAGCCGGATCAATTTGGCTGAGACTTGCCTCCAGTACCACGCAGACCTTCACAGTGGTGAAAAGTTTGCTCGTGCAAAATGCTTTCCCCGGTCAGACCACATTGCCGACTGGGCTCACGTCACCGGTGCTTCCGCGCTCCCTAAGTTCAAACACAAGGCGTATCGGCTAGCAGGCACTG